TGAAGGCCTGGTTGAAGCTATCTCAAATGCAACATGTCCAAATCAGAAGTTATTATCTCTCCTCCCAAAAGCCTCCCTGCTTCCAACAATGTTTTGTTGTTCAACAGTGTTTAAATCTTCATGACCCCATTTGGGGTTTTCTTGGCAAAGATACTGGACTGGTTTACCATTTCCTTCTCCAGCTCATTTTACAGGTGAGAAATTGAGGCAAACAGGGTTAAGTGACTTGTCCAGGATCACACAGCTAGGAAGTGTCTGAGGCCAGATTTGAACTCAGATCCTCCTGTCTTCAGGCCTGGCACTCGATCCGCCATGCCATATAGCTGTCCCCACTTCCAAACTGCCCCACTGTTGTTAAGGCCATCACTATCCTATTAGTCACTCAGGCCCACAACCTCAGTGTCATCCTCCACTCCTCTCCATTCCACTCCACTCCTCTCAGTCACCCCAACTATCCCAGCCATTGTCAGATGTTGTTGTTTAGACCTTTATAACATCTTTCAGATGCATCCCCTTCTTACCACTCACACAGCCTAGTTCAGGCTTTTATTACCTTTCATCTGGGTAACTGCAATACTCTTCTAACTGGTCTTCTTGTGTAAAGTCTCCACACTGCAGCCCATTCTCCACTTAACTGCCAAAGTGACCTTTCTAAAGCATAGTTCTGACCAGGTTGCTCCCATCCCTGCTCCATGAATTCCAATGGATTTCCTCCAAGATCTGATTAAAAAGTCCTCTATTTTGCACTTAAAGGTCCTCCTAACCTGGCCCACTCCTACCTTTCCAACCTCGCACTTTACTCTTTTCCACACACTCTGCCATCCAGCTATACTGGTTTATTCCAGTTGCTTGAACTCTATCCCCCATCTCCATGCCTTTGCTCTAGCTGCCACCCATGCCTAGAAAACTCTGCCACTTTGCCTCTACCTCTTGGTTTCCTTCAAGATTCAGCTTATGGCCCAGTTTCTTTCCTGGTTTCCATAACTTCTAATGCCTTCCCTTTCTAGTCGCCTTTGATTTGCTCTGGTTGCCGATGATTTGCATAGTGGATCTTTTGCATGTACCTAGTTATCTGGCTATGGCTTTCTTCCATTAAAGTATGCCCTTCTTGAGGGCAAAAGTTGTTTTTTTGGTTGGTTTAGTGTGGTGTAAGTTTTGCCTTTCTTTGTATCCTCTGTCCTTTGCACAGTGCCTGGCATGTAGTACTTTACAAATGTTTGTTGACTGACTGATTGAAGGAACTATAAATGCCTATGCTGGAGAAGAGACTATATGGTGAAATTCATTATAGCTGTCTTCAAGTATTTGGAGGATTGGCATATGAGAAAGAGATTAAATTTGTTCTGTTTAACTCCAGAACATAGAACCAGGAGCAAAGATTAAAAGTTGAAAAGAGACAGATTTGGACTCAATATAAAGAAGAGCTTTCTGACAATTAGTGTTCTCCCAAAGTGGAATGGATTGCCCTTCAATGGAGGTCTTTGAGTAAAGGCTGGATGACTACTTGTTTACTATGTTGTAGTCCACTTGTCAAGAAAGGATTGGACTAGATGAGCTCTGAGGTCCCTTCCAGGGAGTGGATTCTGCAGAAGTGAAAAATCTCAAACACAATCCGTCAGAGATTTTTGCCCAGTAGGCAGAGTTTTCTTCAGCGTTCTCTCACCTGCCTTTTCAGTGCCTCTGCCCGTGTACTTTGCCCAAGGTAATAAGTGGTAGCTTAAATTCACAAAGGTCTCCAGTGGTCACACATCTTCTCTGCCCACCATTCAGCATTCCACCTCCCCAAGCCTGTTCTCCTAGAGCAATGCCCCATTCTCTGGAACTAATCTCTTACTCCTTTCATAACTCTTAGCAAAACTTATCTCTCCAGTGTGCCATTCTTAATGGCCCTGGTGTTATCTGGCTATACTTTTTGAAAAGCAATTCCAAAAAAACTCAACATAATGATGCCTTACTTTGTTACTCCTCTACATTAACATTTCCATTTCATAGGGGCCTCTAGAGACCTAGCACTTTAACTCAAAGAAATTTATCTGTAATAGTAGATTTTCAGGTACTTAGGAAAGAGCTACTGTGAGATTAATGTAAAGGCAGGATTTGGAGGTAATGATAGGAGGATAGAGGGAAAGAAAGGCAAGACAATCTTCTCAGGGCGCTTTAAATTATACCACAGGACTAGCAGTCACCTTTTTGCCTACGGGGTAAGGCCTGCCCTGCTGCTGCAAAGAGATGGGAAAAAATAATAAATGAAATAACCAATGCTTGTATTTTTCACATTTCTTTCCATGTCTCATTCCAAAACTCCCTGTGGGCTGGGCTGTGGCCTATCACATCAATCAATCCTTTTGTGAAATTACTCAGAACCAATTTGCTGAACCAATTTGTCTTCAGTGGAAGTTAAGAAATGCAAGAACCAACTTGAGCAGAAATAAAAGGAAAACAAAATAATATCCAAATACCTACAACATGTTGCTGATTGATTACAGAGGGTAGAAATTATTGCTGAAGGACAGGTCCTACTTCTTCCTAAATCTGAGTAACAGAAAATTTCATGTTAGAAACCCAAGTACATATTTCAGATTCAGAAGTCTAAAGGGGAAGAGAAACACATGATCATGGGATTTAAAGTTGAAAGGGACTTTAAAGCTCATCTAATCCAACCCATTCTATTTTTACAGAAAAGGAAACTGAGACCCAAAGGCTTGTCCAGGATCTCATGGGTAGTAAGTGGCAAAGCTAGAATTTGATCCCAAGTCTTCTGACTCCAAATGAGCTCTAGCTCCTTGCTGGGCTTCACGGTTTGTTGTTGTTGTTGATGGTGGTGGTGGTGATGATGATGATGATGATGATGATGATGATGATGATGATGATGATGTTTTAAGAATCAGAATAGCAATGGCAAAAAACTGGAAATTGAGGGGATGTCCATCAATTAAAGAATGGCTAAACAACTTATGGTATATGATTGTGATGAAATAGTACTGTGCTGCAAGAAATAATGAGTTGGTCGATTTTAGAAAAACATATAAAAGCATGCATGAAATAATGAAAAGTGAAATGAGTAGAACCAAGAGAACATTGTATACAGTAACAGCAATATTATTCAAAGAATAACTATGAATAACCAGGTTATTCTGATTATTATAAATATTAAATCATCTACAAAGGATCTATGAAGGAAGATGCTATCCACCTCTGGAGAAAGAACTGATAAATAGAAGTATGTATAATATGGTTTTACATATATTTCTAAATATGTGTCAAATGGTGTCCTTCTTTAGTGCGGGGTGGGGGAGATAGTTCAGAACTTAAAATGTAACAAAAAAATTAATTTAATTAATTTTTTAAAAATAACCATAATAACAGAACTAAAGAAAGTGAGAATTGGAAGCTACTTCAGCAGCCATCTAATCCAATCCACACGCAGAAGGAATTTCCACTACAACACATCCAACGTGTGGTTGTCCAGCCTCTGCATAAAGATTTCCAAGGGCGCAGCTAGGTGGCGCAGTGGATAGAGCACCAGCCCTGAAGTCAGGAGGACCTGAGTTCAAATATGGCCTCAGACCAAAGACTTGACACTTACTAGCTGTGTGACCCGGGCAAGTCACTTAACTCCAATTGCCTAAAAAAATAATAATAAAATGAAATTTAAAAAAAAAAGATTTCCAGGCAGGAAGATCCCACCATCTTTCAAAACACCTCAATTCATTTTGAGGCAGCACTAATTGTCAGGCAGGTGTGTCATGGGGTATTCAGGGAGGAATAGCATCTCTGGTGTGAGGGCTTGTGAAGCCCTTTTCAGGACTGCTCATCCACCTTCAGTGTCCAACTGACCACCCACCTCTCACCTGTGGCTCCACAAAACTATAACATGCCCAGGAGCCACATCCCCGTAAACCCCCTCAGCAGACAGGACAAACCAGATTGAGGGTAACCAATGGTCCTCTAACCCAGGCGATGAGTTAAGGGGATGTCTACACCAAGCATGTAAAGACTTATTCTTGCAGAATGGACAGATGAGAATAATTTGTTCCAATGGCCATGAAGGCATCTGAAATAGGTGCTGTGGAGTACTTAGCACTTGGTCTGATATCAAAGTCGCCTAGGTCATCCACTGATTTCTCAGGTTGTCCTTGTCATCCTGACCTTTGTCCTGCCACTGGACTTCCATGACTGTGGAGGAGAGAGAGAGGCTAACAACTTTCTGCCACTCTGCCTCACTTAAATCCAATTCACAGGCAAGTCAAAACATCACCCCATGATGTCATTAGTCCTCTTCAAAAATGAAGGACAAACAATATTTGTTAGGCCTGTTTTTACTGATATCAAATCTAAATCTTCCTTTTTTGTAACTTCTGTCTTTTTGCTTCAGTTTCTGCCCTTTGGGGCCAAACAGGAAAAACCCTTTAAATACTTGAAGATAGCTATCATTTCCAGTACCCCCACACATACATACAAGTCTCCTCTTCTCCAGGTGAAAAATCACTAGTTTCTTCAACCAATCCCCATAGAACATGGAGTCATGGCCCTGCCTTCACCATCCTGCTTGCCTTCTTCTGGATAATCTCCAGTTTATCATTCCTTCTTAAAAGGCAGTGCCCCAAACTAAAAACACTACTTCATATACAGTCTGTGGAGTACAGAGTATGGAAATCTATCATATTCTTATTCCTTGAAGTTTTCTGTGCCTCCCAGTGCAGCCCAAGATTACATTAGCTTTTTTGGCTGCCCTGTCCCACCACTGTCTTTCTTTGAGTTTGCAGTCTAATAAAACCACCAGATATTTTTCAGACAAAATGCTATCTATTCATGCCTCCCCCATCCTATACTTGTATCTAATTTCTTTTTGTTTTCCTCTACAAAATTCAAGGCCAAGACTAGCTGGTTCCTTTCAGCTCTGACATTTTAAGCCATCCCAATATTCCCTGTGAGGATTATCTGTCAATATTACATTGTAGAACACACAATGACACCATGGCCAGTGCATCTCAAATAAGTTTTATTGTGATTCAAGTGACTGAGTTTAAATTACATTTTACAATAGTCATGTAGCACTTCTGTGGGAAACTCAATTTCTGCTGAGATCACATTTACAGACATTAAATGGGTAGCTTTTGCTTGGCCAAAATGGGGACCCACAGAGAATTCAGGCTCCTTTTCCAGGAGCAAGGTTTCTCTGCAAAGACTCATCTATACACATGTGCCAACATGCGTGTAATCCCCCACAACAAACTGGTCGCACACAACATAATTTCAATCAACACCTCACTTTTCTCAATGGCACTGTGAGCCTTTCTAGGCTAAATGGTATGTCCTTTCACCAACATGTAGAAGTCTTTTTCTTTTCCATGCTGTTACTATGCTACCACAGGTACCCTCACACTTAAAAGAAAAGGAGGGGGCAGGAATCAAGATCCACAATAGGGCAAATTCAATCTAATAGAACAAGTATTTATTATGTACCTTCTTTGTCCCAGGCACTGAACTAAGTGCTAAGCATACAATAACAACAATGAAACTGTTCCTGCCCTCAAGAAGCTTGTGTTCTTCTTGGGGGGCAGGGGCAACATCGATCGATCAATCTGCAAACATGTATGTAGTACCTACCATACGTCAGGCATTGTACTAGATCCTAGGGATACAAAGACAAAATGAACTAAACCCTGCCCTCCAGGGCAGGAGCTTCCACTTTATCAGAGGAGACAGCGTGTTTGCAGATAAATATATTCAAAATTCACAAAACAAGTACAAGGTAATTTCAGCAGAGACACACCAGCCACTGGGGGGTAGGGGATCGGAAAACGGTTAGGAATAGAGCAAGATGTATAGCAACTTCCCCTCCAGGACCAAGGTGCCTGGGGGGACAAGAGAAGATATCATCATTACTGAAAAAGATGAGCAGGGATGCTTTTGTAGGGAACCAGATTTCTATGAATGTCAGGGTTTGGAGGGATCACTGGAGGAAGAGGTTGAAAATGAAGGGAAGTTTGTTAGTGATAGAAGTGGGACTCCAAAGCGCAAAATGGAAGGGCAAGCTAGAACTGGATTGTATGTGTAAGGCATAGGGAAGAGGTGGATGGTAATAAGTGAATAGGGAGTGGTGGCAAGGAAGGGCATAGTTTTCAATTAGGCAGCTGGGGATTCTTCATTGTCGGGATTTCAAGAGTGAGGGGTGGGATTTTGCTAGCCTTAGAGAACATAACTATCATTTTGGTGTGGCTACCACCTTCAAGAATCCTATGAATGGCAGAGGGTGAGTCATATACAGAGTTAAGTAAACACAAAGAATACACAAAATAAATGCAAAGTAATTTGAGGCGAAGGAGAGAGCAGTTAACAGCTGGAGAGTTCAGGAAACACCTACTGTAGGAGGACATGACTTATGAGCACCTAGATTTTCAGTCTCTCCTCTGCTCCACATTTTGGAGAACTCCCCCCTGCAGCACAAAGAAAACTGTCACATCGAACACCAGATGCAGCAACCCAACCAATGACAGTCTCAAAGCTGGAATACCTCAGGTTGTTTTGGCCTCCTTGACTTAGAAGGTTCTGTCTTCTGTCAAGCGCCATAGAAATCACTTCTTCCTACTCTTTGGAAGTCTGATTTGTTCTGTAAAACTTGGACTCCGTCAAAAGGCCTAGGACCTAGAAGGCCACAGTTCCCCATCCCTGTTTTATCCTTTGAGCTGGTTCAGTTTCACTAACAAAAAGGACTATTCAACCAGAGACTGCTTTTCTGGCCCCGTCCCATTACGCTTTTAACTCCACTGTAGGGCAAGAAATCAATCTGATAGTAGCCACAGTTTATGTGGATTAATCCCCCACAACAAACTGGTTGCACACAACATAATCCCAATCAACACTTCACTTTTCTCAATGACACTGTGAGCCTCTCTAGGCTAAATGGTATGTCCTGAACATGCTAAACCAAGATGCTTCTGAAAACTGGGTCCTTGAGAAGGTTGGTGAGAGCACACATATTTTTAAGTGGCACGTGAGACACTGCAATCCTTGACTGGCACTGCTGTGTGAGCTCATTCAAAAATCCGCTGAAGTAACAATTTTACCATAGCACTGGATAAAAATGCTAGATAAAGGCCAAGCAGCAATAATCTGGCTAGACAGTTAAGGAGATAATGGAATTTTTCTCTTTGTAGTTTCTCAGAAACTGTATTCCTTTTTCTCCTTTGAAAGTAGAACATTTCTCAACCCCTTTTCCTTCCTATGAGGCTGCTAGAAAGAAGATGTTTTTCCTCCTATTTGTGTCTTATTACTCACACTCATTACTCTTTTCCACTGACTGAAGAGAAAGACATTTGAGTTGGTTAGAGACTTCTCCATCTCGGTTGCTATGAGATGATGCTGGTAACCACCACACAGTGCAAATCTCTTCACCTGGGTCTGCTCTTCCTCCTCTTTTCATCTACCCTGATAGAAAAGGCCCCTGGGAGAAGGGAACAGAGCAATCACTTCTGGATATGTTCTCTCCTATCTTCTTCCCCCACAATTTAGGTGAGAATTAAGTAAGGACATCCTTTATCTTCCTTCCCTTCTCTTTGCAACAGATGCAACTAGGCACCACTCACTCCACCAAAGTTGTTAGTGAATAAATAAAAACTATTAATGTTGTCTGCTTAGACTCACTGACATGGCTACACAAAGACATCTGTCCTGCTCAGTCAATCCAGGATTTCCCTCCAAGGTTCCAAGTAGCCAGTCTTCCCACACAAGCATCCATCTCATAGATACTGTTCATGTACTTGCCAGATGGCCTGAAAGTTCAAACACCAAATCGGGTTTGGTTGGAGAGCCACTGGAAATGTGTACAGGAGATGGTACATACAAATATATATTTAGATGAGATGGGACTTGGTGCTTAGCTAACACTCTCCAGGAAGTACCTACCTAAATTGGCCCCTATTTTTATCCACATTGGGGGGTCTGAGGCAAAGGGTCAGCGTAGCTTTCTGCATCTCTTCTTAGTCTTCTCATGCACCCCCGGGGACTCCTATTTCATCATTGCATTGGCCTCATTTAACTCACTGCCACAATAGGCTCTACAGAGGAGATATCTGTCTTAGCTGAATGAACATTGGAGGCAGTTGGGAGGTTGTGAGAACCCTGTACCCTCTTGCAGTTGCCACTTTCTGGCCAAGCCACCCGGTAAGAGGGCACAGTAGAAGGAAGTATATGTTCTCGAGGTCTGGGTGCCTTTTTGCATATGCTCAGCAAAGCCTTCAGCTCAGACCTGAAATTCTCATTGAGCCAGCAGTAGATGAAGGGGTTATAACAGGTGCTGCTCATGGCGAACCAATGGAAGGCAAAGTAAAGGGCATTATTGCTCCGGATGGTCTTGCTGGAGAGGAGGAGCACATAGCAGTTCAAGGGGAACCAGCAGACGGCAAAGAGCACCACAACCAGCATCAGCATCTTGATGGTCTTCTTCTTTTTGCGCCGTAGGGCATAGTACTGCTCTGTGGTCACATCGCCAATGGCATTGCGCAGCCACAGCTTCTTGGCCACGCGGGTATAGGCCACAGAGATGATGAGAAGAGGTGAAATGTAAAGCAAAACAAAGGTGGCCAGGTCCAGGTACTTCCAGAAGAGGTCTGCTGGGTCTGGGAAGTCTGGGAGGCACAGGCTGCGGACAACATCTTCGCTGTTGGATGGAGGGGGGGGGAAGGAAGTGAGGAAAAAAGACCATCAGAGAGAACAGAGAACAGCCTGAGAAGAATCAACAAATGAAAGCCAAGAAATTATCTACCCTGTTGTATTTCACTCTTCTGCAAGGAAAATGAGCCAACAGGAAAAGAAATGATGGTCCCTCTGAGTCAATGACAAAGTTGGGACTGGAAGGCCTAGGTTTCCTGGTATTATCAGTAATTCTGCTCTTTATCTGGGGTCTTGAAGGAAACTTAGTAATAATCTAGCCGTAGTCTAACCTTTCATTTGACAAGATGAGTACACTGAGACCCAAAGAGAAATAGCTTGAAATTCCATAGGAAGTAAGTAGTACAGGTGGCATTTGAACACAGAACCTCTGAGACTAACTCCAGTAGTCTTTGCAGAACATCACACTATTACCCTTCTCAGTATACCAGCATGCTCCTCCAGATGACTTGATAGCCTTATCAAATATCCTGGTCTCCCACCTTGGTGCAAACCCAAGGAAAGGTCCCTTTCCACATTGGGAACTGCAAAATAAAAAGGTCTGCTTTTATTTTGGGGTAATACTTTCAATTAATTCTGGCATGTTTTCATGGAAATGATTACATTTTATAAAGAATTTGAATCTGGGTCTCAGTTTGCTCAGCTATCAAACAAAGGGATTGGGGCTAAAAAAAAATCTCAGGATCCTTTTTTTCAGTTTTTATTTCTATAATTCCACTACTGCAGGTTTACTCTTTCCTATGACACATCCTGCATTATTGCAAGCATATTTGGGACAGGATGGTGAGAGTGTGGCATTGGGATATGTGAGTATCTGTGCAATTTTAAGACCTGAGCCTGGTTGTTCTGGTTCTGATACTAGGATATGTGATCATGTGCCCCCTAGTGACAGAAGCCTATCACTACCATTTGGCCTGTCCTGTGCTGAATGAAAACTGGTAAATCATACAAAAACTGAGCAAGATGGGAGGATTAAGAAAGGTTAGGAAGAAAAGAAGAGGAGATGGAGTGATAAAGAAAAATAGAATGGGAAAAGGAAAAGGACATGCTAGAAGGAGGATAAATAAGATGGATAAGCAAAAGCTGAAGCACTGGCTGGGGATGTCATAGAGGGGGAAAAAATATAAAAGATAGAGTGCTTTAAGGTTGACAAAGAAATGTACGTATGTCGCCCCATCTGATCCTTGAAACATGCAATCATCAATTTAGAGATGGAAGGGCCCTCATTTTACAAATTGACAATGAGGAAAATGAGGCATAGAGAAATGAGATTTGAATTTCGATCCTCTGACTCCAAAGAAATCACTCTTTCCACTCCACCACACAGTATCAGCTGCACTAGATGGTCCCTGAGGTCTCTTCAAACTTTCAGTTTATATGATTCTATAATTCTTATCCAATATATACATACATGTATATATAGATGTATTTGTACATACATATATATTGGAAAGGCATAATATACATATTTATATTTACATGTGTATACAGCACAGTAAGGTGGCACAGTGAATAAAGTGCCTGGTTTGGAAGCAGGAAGAGTCATCTTCCTGAGTTCAAATCTAGCCTCAGACATTTACCAGCTATGTGACCCTGGCCAAGTCACTTAACCCTGTTTGCTTCAGTTTCCTCATCTGTAAAATGAGTTGGAAAAGGAATGGCAAACCACTCCAGTATCTTTCCAAAAAAAATGGGTCGTGAATAGTCAGAAGTAACTGAAACAACCGAACAACACATATTTATGTGTGTGTATGTATGTATACATACTTATATGTTGTGCCTTTCCAATTAGAATGTAAATTCCTTGAGGACAGAGAACATTTCACTTTTGTCTTAGTATCCTCAGCACTTAGCACGATCGGTAAAGCATGGTAGGTAATTAATACATAAATGCTTGTAGATTAATTGGTTAATTATCCTTTGGTGAGTGGAAAGAGCACTGAACTGAGCCCCAGCTGCACCACTACCTTCTTTCAATGACCCTGAACAGGTTGCTTCCTTTCTCTGGGGCTCAATTCCTTAATATGTAAAAAAGAGGGGCTTACTCTCTAGGGGATCTCCAAGTCCCCTTCCAGCTGTTGCTTTCTACACTTTGTATTTCCATAGTCCCAATATTCCACAGTCTTGGCCAAGAAGCAAGTTTTCTGCAACCAAGTTACTAATGTGGCACTGTGTGCTTGGTGAGTGTCACACACTTTGTATCTCTTCAAGCTCAATCAGGAGTCTCCCCAATTAACACTAGGGTCTTACCTGTATTTGAAGGTAAACAGTTTTTGGTAGATAGCATGTGGGAGAGAAAAGCAGGTAGCCATGATCCAGATGATTGCAATAGAGATGAGCCCTTTTGTAGGGGAGATTCGGGGTTTCAAAGGATGCATGATAACCTACAAAGGAAGTAAATCAGAATCACAAGCTCACAGAATGACAAGAACAGAATCTCAGCATGGGAGAGTCCTCAGAGGACATCAAATTCAACTCATTCCTGGGAATGAAACTCCTGTATGAGATTCCCAATAACTGCTCATCTAGCCTCCCTTGAAAGCCTTCAGTGATGGGGAGCCCATTCCACCGTGGTAGAGCTCCAGCTGCTAAGTCTTTCTTTACGGAAGCTAAATCTGTCTCTGCTACTTCCACCCATGGTTCCAGTTCTGCCCTCAGGAGCCACAAAGAACAAGTATAGTACCTCATTCATTTCAAGTACTTGAAGCCTACAATCCATTTCTCCCTAAACTATTTTCTCTTCTCCAGGCTAAACATCCACAGCTTTTCCAACCAATCCTCATACAGCAGTCCTCAAGGCCCAAGAGGTCCTCACTGAAGAGTCAGCAAGAACAAGGAATCCAGGTCAAGCACATCTCTTATCCTTGCTTATCTCTCTCTACGGGTGCTGCTACTTAGTTAATTCAAAATGCAGCCTTCCTTTTCACTGGACGCATCAGCTTCTGTTGGGGACCTCAGCACTACAGTATCCCACAGGCTGTGCCCTGTAGCAGGTTTGAAGGTCTTCTACCTACCATGCTCAGGAATAGCTATAGGGCTGGGGAGGTGTGGAATGTTTTGTCCAATATTGACAGGCAAACCACAAGGGAAATAGTATTTTTCCTCTTCCCTTCTAGTCCAGTCTCTCTTTTGTTTGTTGGAGCAAGGAAGCAGAGTTTAATGCCCTTTGGTCCAGAACTTTATTTGCAAGTTTTTTGAGGGGTAAGGGAACAGCAGTGTTTGAGAGAGGTATGCCTTCATTCACTCTTCCAGGAAGCCAAATCACTTCTCCCCTTGCCCCACAGGTTTGCTTCCTCTTGGGCACACATTGCATGGAGAGGACAACTCCATAGAGACAGAATTACGGTTCCACATCTGTGGGCATGAGAATGTCCCAGAACAAATACCACTGAGTGCTCATGCCCTGGCTGCCTGCCCCATTCTTAGGAATCTTTGGGCAGATGAAGCAGACCAGGCTTAATTCAAAGGGCCCTGGGAAGCTTCTTTTTGGAAATCTTAAGTCCTTTACACTGCACTGGAATGTACTTCCTTCTCCCCTCTTTCTCACAGACTCCCTCTCTTTCTTCAAGATATAGTTCAAGCATCATCTTCTGTCCCAAGCTCTTTCTTGATCCCCTACCCAAAGGCTAGTGCCCTCCCAAACTACCTTACATTTAATTACTTTGTATTCTATTCATATTTGTCCTGCATCTACTTAGATATGGATCTCTTGTCTCTCCTCATTAGGATGTAAGCTTCTGATGAGCAGGGACTGCCTCATCCTTTGTCTGCATCCCCAGTGCCTAGCACATTGCCCAGTCTATAATACATGACTTGTCAAGACTTGTTAGTTGGTTGGGAGCCTAATAGAATCTGAAGGAAGCTCCTTTCATAAATCATAGGAGCGCAGTATTAAGAGCTGGAAAGTTCTCAGAGATTATCCAATCCACCCTCCTTCATGTTACAGATAAGGAAATGAAGCTCTGTAGAGGTTAAGTAATTGGGTAGAAATCACCCAGGGTATAAGTGGCCAAGACAGAATTCAAACTCGGCAACTGATGTCAAGTCCAGGGCTCTTTCCACCCATGCACAGATCCCATTCATCCTCAGTAAATGCTCCCCTACATACCAAAGTCAGGGAGAGGAAGACAGTGGGGAATGCAAAGATTTCAGATGCCACTAATGAGCTTGAAAGGGGGAAATGACCCAGAAGACAGTAAAGCTGTAAATCCTTGCAGGTTCCTCTGAAACACTAGAAATCAGAGCACTCTGGTAAGCAGAGATTATTTCCACCAGAAAGGATTTCACCGAACTTTGCAAAGGGCAGAAATTTCACTGTCCTGAAAAGGGCAGACCTTTGGGGGAAAATAACAACAAACACCAGCAACACTGAAGGAACCTTGATTTTCATGGGATCTCTCACTTTCAAGTCACTATCAGAAGGCCAGCTAGACACTGACGAATCCTTAGTCTCCTTAGGAAGCAGATGATTTTTAAAACAAAAAATGAATCAGTTCTCACAACACCCCCCCCCACTGGACAGTCATAAGTGGGGCTATTACTGAAGAGATTTTTCCCAATGATGCCATAGGGACAATCAGTGGAAAGAGGACTAGATTTAGAATCAAAGGACCTCAGTGCTAATTCCATTTCTGACAGTTATTACTTGAGTGACCTTGGATAAGTTATTTCATGTTTCTCATCTACGAAATGCAAGGGATTAGACTAGGTGACCTCTAAGAAATCTTCCAGTTCTGATCCTATGACCCTATGATTTTGTCAGGACCTAAACCAGAACTCAGGTCTTTCCCATAATCCCTACTTTGGGATCTAATGACTTACTCATTTAAAGGATCCTCTAACACATTAATCAAGAGGACTTTAATCACCCTCCATGGGAAGCTGCATTAGCTCCAGTCAATTGAAAGTTCACACTGAACAATAAAAAGATGATTATAATGCACAAGAGCCTTAGATATTGTTTTACGTTTCCTCCTTTGTCCCCCCTTTCCTGCCATTCCCTTCTCCATGCTCCATACAAATAGGCATTTGGGACAACTAGCTGAGATGTAGACTGAAATTGTTGCCATTATCCACTTATTTATGTTGGTTAATCTGGAGAAGAAGGATCCAAAATTGGGAATGCTAAAATATCTTCCTTTTGTGACTCAGATCTCTCACTCTTTGAGGAAGAGTTTTATTGTGTGAAGGCATGATGGGTATAAGGGAGGAGAGGTCTGGTCTTTTCTTATGAACTCAACTAAAAGTACATTTTCTGATCTTGGCAAAATTCTGAGCGTGTTTTGCTTTCTTGATGATTCCCATATAGACGCTGATTAATGCAATGACTGGAATTATTTCCTGGGTCTTGTGGACCCACCATGATGCTTCCCTCTCTGCCTGCCAACTATCTCATATTTCATTTTGCTTTCTTCTTTTGGGAGGATAGCTAATTAGTTTCTCGGAGACACTTCTGCCTCCAATTGAGACCACCTCATCACAGTAAACTCCTGATATGGGGGGACTGTGGGAATCTTATAATCGTGGCACACGACCCCTACTCTCCATGCCTTTGGCCAAGCTAATCCTCCATGCCTGAAATGCTCTCCCTGATCATATCTGCCTCTTAGAAACCTTATTTTCCTCCAAAGCTCAGCTCAAGTATCACCTTGTACACTGAGCCTTCCCTGAAGACCTCAGCTTCTGGTGTCTCCCCAGCCTACCCCTCAGAAAAGAATTATCTTTCACTTCTTTTGTACTTATATATGTACATCTTTCCCCTTGTAGAAGGTAAGTTCTTGGAGAGTAGGGACTCCTTCACTGTTTTGCTTTTGCATATGTGTCTCCAGCATGTAGCACAGTGGCTGGCACACAGTAGGTGCTTAATAAATTCTTGTTGTTTGATGACTCATTGATCAAAGAACTATTTTTGCTTCTGGTTTTTTTTATTTTAAACCTTGTAGTCCCAGTCCTGATTTTACAAATGAGGACATGATTAAACTATTTGTCTGAAGTCATCTAACTAGTAAGTGGCAGAGCTGGAATTTAAACTCAGGTCTTCTATGTGAACTAAGTCAAACATCCTTCCCCCAAAATAGGAATGGCTCCAAAATGGAAAGCTCTTGTGGTCCAGACAGAACTAGCATTTTTACAGATAAAGGAAAGCCATAGCCAATCCAGTACCTAGCCAAGATTATGACTTACCTCAATTAAGAATGTCACCTTAATCTAGAATTGTGCATTTGTCTAAAACCTTGCACTGCCTCCAACAGTTCACTGATCCAGAACCCTAGTATAAGCTGAACTCTACCACTAATATAGCTAACACAATGATGTTCCTTGCTTCAATCTAGAGCAAGTTGCTCCCACAACTCTTACCTTTGAGTCAATCTAGAACTCCACTGCAATTTACACTTTTGTACTGATTCAGTTCTGAGAAAAGTGTGGTATAGTCAATACAGTTATGACATTGGAGCCCAAAAGACATGAGTTCAAATTTTGTCTCTGATACATACTAGTTATGCAACCATGGGCAATAAATGAACCTCTTAGTGTCCAGGAAACTCTTAAAGATGCCAATTTAGAAAGTGGAAGAAGTTTCTTCACAGAAGTTTCTGAAACCAATGAAATCATAGTTCCAAGGGGAAAAATTCTAACTCACATAATCCCAGCCTAGCCCAAATCTTGAACCTACACACGATCTAGAACCTCACATCGCTTCAAGATACTTCCATTTAAAGTTCTACTTTCTAGATGCTCACACTACTCTAGAACCTCACAGCAATCCAAAACCATGCTCTAAACCTCTTCTCTAATCAGGAGGATATGGATATTGTGACTATATCTTTCATCTCCTCCAACCCTCTCTCACCATGCCGCTGATGATAGGCAAAATGATCCAGAATAAAGTTGTAAACAAGACCTCTGGATCTCATGGCTTTTGTGAATAAGCCTTTCTGACTCAGCCAGGGTGAGTAGCCTAGGCTGTGAGATTCTGAGTATCAAACAACACAGTTCTGGAGCAGCCAGAGAGTTATTGAAGGGCAGCCATTGTTCTCCCCTCCCTTCCAAGCTCTTCTTCTGTATTGATTTTCCAACACAACTATTTCACATAAATTCTTCATTACAAACATACCAGCAGCAAGTTTGTGCCATTGAAAGCCCCCTCTCAGAACCCCCAAAGTCCTTTGGCGGCAGAGGTGGGAAGGAAAATGGCTTTCCCCATAAATGGAATCTCACCTGGTGTCTATCCACAGCAATTGCTGTCAGAGTCAGGGCTGAGACGTGGAGGGAGCAATACTGGGCAAATCGACTTATGTGGCACATGCCCTTCCCAAATATCCACGTGCTGTTCACAAAGCGGACCTAGAAAGATACAAAGACCGACAGACAGAAAGACAGACAGTGTGGTGAAAAGCTTGCTAAATTTGGAGTCAGAGGACCTGGCTTCATTTCCTGGCTCTGCAATTATTTTCTGTGTGATCTTGGGCAACTAAATCTCTCTGAGTCTCTGTTTCCTTATTTATAAAAAATAAAAATAAGGAAGTATCTCTGATAAAGGCCTCATTTCTCAACTGTATGGAGAACTGAGTCAAATTTACAAAACTACAAGCCATTCCCCAATTGATAAATGGTTAAAGGATATGAACAAGCAGTTTTCAAATGAATAAATCAAAGCTATCTATAGGCATATGAAGAGGTGCTCTAGATCACTTTTGATTAGAGAAACGCAAACTAAAACAACTCTAAGGTACTACCTCACACCTATCAGATTGGCTAATTAATATGACAGAAAAGGAAAATGATGAATGCTGGAGAAGATGTGCAAAAATTGGGACACTGTTTGCAGTTGCACTGTTGGTGGAGTTGTGAACTGATCCAACCATTCTGGAGAGCAATTAGGAAGTTTGCCCAAAGGGGAACCAAACAGTGCATACCCTTTGATCCAGCAATAGCACTACTAGGTCTGTATTTCAAAGAGATCACCAAAAAGGGAAAAGGACCCACATGTGCAAAAATATTTATAGCATCCCTTTTTGTGGTGGCAAAATATGGGAAACCGAGGGGATGCTCATCAATTGGGGAATGGCTGAACAAGCTGCGGTATAGTAATGTAACAGAATACTATTGCGCAATAAGAAATGATGAACAGGAAAATTACAGGAACACCTGGAAAAACTTGTACAAACTGAGGTAAAGTGAAATAAGCAGAAGCAGGAAAACATTGTACACAGTATCAGCAACATTGTTTGCTGATCAGCTATGAATGACTCAGCTCTTTCAGCAGCACAATAATCCAAGACAGGTACAAAGGACTCACAAGGAAAAATGCTATCTTTATCCAGATAACAAACTGATAGACTCGGAATGGAGATCAAAGCCTTTTTTTCACTTTATTCTTTCTCATGATTTTTTTTCTTTTGGTCTGTTTCTTCTTTCACAACTGTGACCAATATAGAAATATTTTTACATGATAGCACATGTATAAACTATATAAAAAAGCCCCCATTTTCAGAAGAGGGGAGGGAAAGAAAAAGGGAGAAAAATTAGGAACTTGTAAAATTCTTGTAAAATTATTTTTAAAATCTTGTAAAAATGAATGCTAAAAAATGTCTTGACATGTAACTGGGGGAAAAATAAAATGTTATTAAATAAACTAATTAATTAATAAAATCAAAATAAGGAGAGTGGACTGTATAACCACCAAGAACCTTTCCAATTCTAAATTCTATAAGCCTGTGAACACAACTACAACTTTTATTTCTCACGAGCTCTCCTGATCTTGGGTTATATCAAGTTTTCTTTTCTTTTTCCTTTTAAATTAACAAGCATTTTCCCCCTCCTTCCCACCTCTTCACTTCAATTAAATAGGGGGAAGAAACACCCTTTTAACAAATATGCATAGTCAAGGAAAATGAAATGCTGCATTGTCCATTTCCAAAAATGTAGATCTCATTCTTTGTCTTAAGTCCATCACCTCTCTGTCAGGAAGTGGGTAATATGTTTCATCAATGATCCTCTGGATTGATTAGAGTTTTCTTAGGTCTTTCAACATTTTTTGTATTTACAATGTTTTGTCATTGTATAAATTTTCCTCCTGACCTGGCTCACTTCACACACTGTAGCAGTTCACAAAGGCTTTTCCAGGATTCTCTGAAACCTCCCTTCCATTATTTCTTGCAGTGAAATAGTATTCCATTATATTTATATACCATAAATAGGTAAGCCATTCTGTAAATGATGGGATCCCCTTTAATTTCTAGTTCTTTGGTACCACAAAAAGAGGTGCCATTACTATTTTTGTATATATTGATCCTTTTCCTCCTTCTTTGATTTCTTTGGCTAAGCAGTGGTATTTCTGGGTCAAAAAATAATCACAACTTAATGACTTTTGAGGCATAGTTACAAATTACTTTCCAGAAGGCTGGGCCACTTGACAACTCCATCCATGGTGCATCAATGCGCTTGTTTTACTGTAGCCCCTCCAACATTTATCATTGTCCTTTCATGTTGTCTTTGCCAATATAAGCAATGTAAGATAGAACTTCAAAGTTATTTTAATTTGCATTTCTCTAATTATTAGTTTTTTGGAGTATTTTTCATATGACTATTAATAGCTTTGATTTCTTCCTCTTCAACTGCTTGTTTGTGTCTTTTGATCATTTTTCATTGAAGACTGGCTCATTCTTATAAATGTGAATTAATTCCTTATATATCTTGGAAATGAAACCTTTATCATAAAAATTTGCTGCAAAGATTTTTCCAGTTAATTGTTTCCTTTTTTAATTTTAGCAATGGCTTTGTTTGTGCAAAAACTTTTTAATTTTATGCAATCCAAATTGTGAATTTTGTCTTCTGTGATCCTTTCTGTCCCTTGTTTGATTGCAACCCTTCTCCTCTTCATGTACGTGAAAGGTAATTTCTTCCTTGCCTCTCTAATTTACTTATGATGGGACCTTTTTTGTCTAAATCATGAATCCATTTCAAATTTATCTTGATGTATGGTATGAGAGCATAGTTATATAGTTTTTATATATAGTTTTTATAAGACTACTTTCCAAAAGTAGCTACTTTTATTAAATAGTGAGTCCTTACCCAAGTAGCTAGAATTCTAGGTTACTAGATTTGTTACGACACTACTCTGCAATACTGATCAACCACTCTAATATTTAACCATTATCAAATTATTTTGTAGTATAGTTTGGAACCTGGTATGGCTAGGTTGTCTTCCTTGTCACTAACTTTTTGTTTGTCCAGACGAATTTTGTAATTTTTTTTTTCTAATTCCACAAAGTAATCCTTTGATAGTTTGATCAGCTTGGCACTGAATGGATAAATTATAGACATTGTTAGTTTATTATATTGGTTTAGCCTATCCATGAACAATTAATATTTTTCTAATTATTTAGGTCTGTGTTTATTTCCATAAAGAATGTTTTGTAGTTTTATTCATATAGTTTCTGTATGTCTTGCTTATCAAAAGTCCACTTGGTATATGGGGGGGAAATATGCTGTTGTTTTTTAAAACCTATAGTTTTATAGATTTTTTAAAAAATAAAACCTATAGTTTTGGCACTTTTCCTTACTGATTTGGTGACCTTGGAAAAGTCAATTAGTCTCTCTGAGCCTCAGTTTTCTCATTAAAAATATGGGGATAATCATCATAATTTTACCTATTCACAAGGTTCTGGTGAGGATTGAATGAGACAAATTAGGTACTCATTTTGGAAGATCTGACCCAGAATATTATACATAGTAGACAGTTATCATGTTTGTTAAATGAATGGACTGTCCTGTGGTCTAATCATATTTTTATGCTTTCATGATTCCTCCTTTATGAAGCAGGACATGCTTTCTCAAAAAGTACCACTTTGTTGGTTCAGAGACCCTAAAGCACTTGCATTAAGTAGCATAATGAGATCTGAGCTAGAGCTGAGAGTAAACTCATCAGCTTCTGGCCTCCTTAGTCTGGTTCTTTATTGATCATTGCTTCCCAGAGTTTAAAATGGGGTATTCAGAGTTTTCTACAGCTCCCAGAAAGGTTCTGAGGTCCAAAAGGGAGATGTCAAGTGGAATGGAGGACTATGAATATGTGAGCACCACTGGGAATGAAACAAAGATTCTCCACAAGAAGGAGAGAGAGGAGATCTAGATTAAAATGTAGTTGAGAAGTATTTAAGAAAATAAATCCACAATAAAACATAAAAAATTTTTTAATTAAAAAAAAGGAGAGATTGGAGCTCAGGGGCCTTGGAGATAATTGGAAGGCAAAGGGATTCACTGACAAAAGGGAATAAGGACAAGGGAAATTTCTTCTACACAGTGAAAAAAGTACACATGAAATGGCTAGTCAACAATCTGAGGTCCCCTAGGGAATCCTGGTACTTATCATCATATAGCTGTGCAGTTCAATATAATTTAATTCAACTAACACTCATTAAGTGTCCACTATGTATCTGTCAGGTGCCATATACACAGAAAGAGAAGGAACTTACAATATAATGGCGGGGAGGGGGAAGGAGGAAAGAAAAGGATACCATGATCGGAGGGAGAGTGAGAGACATGCAAAGGAGAAGTCCAAAGTAATTCCTATAAGAAATCTGTGGTAGGAGGAGGGGAATTCAGTGAAGGATTTGTGGAGGAGGCAGCATCTTAACTGTTCCTTGAACAAAGGGGAGGACATCAGTAAACAGAGAAGGGAGTCCTTTCCTTGGCATGGAGGAGAGTGTTAAAGGGATAGAGAGAGAGAAAAATAGGCAAGATGAGAACAGGGATGGGCAGTCATCCAGTTTGGCTGGAACGGAAAAATACATCAAGGGGAGAGGTATGACATAAGGATAAATAGGGATGTTGGTGCCAAATGTTGGAGAGCTTAAATACCAGGATAAGGAGTTTATGTGAAAAAGAATCCAAGAGTAGAAAAGTTGCCCTGCATCTGTGCCTGCTCCTGCCAGACTGAGGCAAAAAAGGTGCCCATGAGCCATGCTAATAATAATAATAATGGCTAGTATTTATATAGCACCTACAATGTGCCAGGCACTGTGCTAAGCATCTTACAAATATTATCTCCTTTGATCCTCGCTACAACCCTGGGAGACAGATGCTATTATTACCCCCATTTTACAGCTGAAGAAACTAAAGCAAATAGAGGTTAAGTAATGATAGCTAACATTTATCTAGTGCCTTCTATGTGCCAGGCACTGTGCAAAGCACTTTACAATTATTATCTCATTTGGTCCTCACAACAACCCAGTGAGGTAGGTGCTATTGTGCTACCCCCACTTTACAGATGAGGAAACTGAGGCAAATAGGAGTCAAGTGACTCGCCCAAGGTCACACAGTTAGTAAGTATCTGAGGCTAGACTTGAACTTAGATCTTACTTACTCCAGGCACAGTGCTCTATCCATTGAGCCACCTAGTGGCTCCCAAGTCATGTTCCCAAATCCTAGGCAGTGGCAAAGTCCTGGGGCATCTGCATTAATAAGGGTTTGTATTGGGGCACACCCAGGAGTCATGGAGTGAATTCCAAATTCCCAAAGGATTCTGAGACTAACCTACCCACTACAGATGTTCCAGGCTGGGGACCAGCCTAAGCCCAATGTAGGTTACTCAAGTCAGTGCAGTACCTCTCAACACAAAACCACAAAAGGAGTAAAGCTTCAAACTGACTCGGGGCTCAAGGTGCAACCTGGGGGTGGGGAACGTCATAGCTTAGCAGTAGATCCCCTGGCATTTGTGCTGGGCTACAGGCGGAGGCAGGTTTATGGCACTGCTCGAGCAGGGCATTGTTTGTGCTTGCACCAGATGCTGGGAAGCCTCCCTAGTAGGAAAAAAAGAAGCACTGGCCTCATGCACTGCTTGCTCTTCAAAAGCTGTGTTAAGACACCAGTGCCCCCTTTGTCTTTCTGCCCTTTCTCATCTCTCACAGAGAAGTTTGGACAACTGTAAATGGGACTCCAACTCTTACTGCAGCTAGGAAATATGAGGGTTTGCAATAGCCAGGAGCAAAATAGTGGCTCAACTCTATGTCAGCTGAGACCAAAACTCAGGCTTGATGCAAGCCAGGGCACCTGGGTTCTAGTTGACAGTCTTCCATTCACATAGTTGAGTGATCTTAGGCCAGCCCATTCAGTTCCCTGAGTCTTGGTTTCTTTGTTTGTAAAATAAAGATAATCCTTGTACTACTCTTTCACATCAAATGAGAGAATGTATACGACAGCACTTTAAAGTCTAAATTAGTGGTCTTTTCAAATGAAGGCTGTGAAGCATAATAGAAAGAATATTATTTGGGTTGGAGTTAGGAGGCCTAGATTAGAATTTTCACTTTGATACTTGCTAGCTGTGTGACTATAGGTAAGTCCTTTAATCTCTCTGTGTTTTAGCCCCGTTTGTAAAGTGGGGATAGTAATACCAGTAATAACTACTTCCTTGGGTTGTCATGAGGAATATACTTGGTAAACTATAAATCACAATACAAACAATATTATAGTTAACATTATTAGTAAAAGGGTAGGGACCAGACCCATGATTTCACTGGTATCAGGTAACTCCACAATGAGGTAACTCCCTTGGCCAGTACAGTTTGGCACCTTCCATGCAACTTATAGCTGCATAGAGAGTCTCCTGAGGCACTGAAAGGTTGTGATTTGCCCAGAGTTACATAGGTAGTAGTATGTGTCAGAGACAAAACTTGAACCCAGGACTTTTAAGGCTGCCTCTCTCTTCACTGGGCTATGATAATATGTGGAAAGCCCTTTACAGATCTTAAAGCTCTACATAAATGTTAGCTATTACTAAAGAACTATGCAAATGTTAAGTATTATTATTCAGCAGTGATTTGTAAGACATTCAGGTGGGTGTGAATTATTCTCCCAATAGATCCGAACCACTCTGCTTGTGAGTCATAGACAGATCAGAAATGAAATGGAGTGACAGAAAGACCCTCCTTTCACACCCTCAATTGTTCCTAAGCAGCTGGTCCAAGGGCTTATCCTGGGCACCCATTCCAAGCACTTAGGATAAGAATCACATCTGTCTTCTCTATTATTTTTACCTTTCACCGCCAACCACAATCTCTATCCTGCAACTTATGGGCAAACCAGAGAGGATGAATGAGATACACTAGATGGTTTAGAAAATAAATTTAACTTTTCATTAATCTTTTCCATAACCAGACATCACCAGCTGTTTCCAATTTCCTTGATAGCCAAAGCAGCAACAGCCTTAAGAAAAGCTTTCAAATGCCTGTACATTAGACATAATAATTCAAACTGTACTCTGTCATAGCTTCAATCACCTGTCATTTCAAAGGCTTCAAATTATTGCTCGATTATCCAATAGTTCAGTACCTAACAAGATTGGAAATGAAAGCAAGCCATTCACCCACATCTGGCTGAAGATGCTCAGATCTAATTCACTCAGTGACCCCTGACACAGAACCTTTAGCTAAAAGGGGGGAGAAAATGGGGAGAAAAAAGAGGAGAGAAAAGGATAGAGAGAAGATGGAGAGAAAAAAAGAAGTAGGGAGAAAGGATAGGTGAGGAAAGGAGGAAAATAGAAAAGAAAGTGGAAAGGGAGGGGGAGAGAAAATGGAAGTAGAAGAGGGGAAAAAAGAGAAAAGTGGAGAAATGAAGGAAAATGGAAAAGAGAAAGGAGGAAGGGGAGAAAGAAAGAGGAAATAAAGGAAAGATAGAAAAAGAGGAGGAAAAGGAAAGAAAAAGAAGAGGTATAGAGAGAAGGAAGAGATGAAAGGAGAGAAAGGGAAAAGGAAAGTAAAAAAGAAGAGGAGAGGGGGAGAGGGAGAGACAGACAGACAGACAGAGACAGACAGTGAATATCTCAGTTTCCATGCTCTTACCAAAGTGAAGGGAGTATTAAGCAAGGTTATCATTATGTCAGCTACTGCCAGGTTGACAATGAACAAGCTGGTGGCTGATTGCATTCGCTGGTTCTTGATGACAACATGACAGACCAGGACATTTCCAAAGAGAGAGAAGACAATGATGAAGGAGTACGCCACAATGAGCAGAGCTTTCACCATAGGCTTCTGAGATTCTGCCCCATATCTCTTTCTGCCTACGAAGTTCTGCCAATCTGAAAATGAGTAGTTGCCCCAGGGGAAAAAACTAGACACATTGGGGATCCCAAAGTCTCCATCCAAACTTCCGTTGTTGGTCCATCTCTCAGGCCTCTCAAAGGCTTGCACCAGGCATGGGAGGGAGAACCACATCAAGGAAGTTATCATTCTGGATGAGCCGTGCCCCACTTTAGACTCCAGAATTCCTTGTCTCTAAAAGAGGCGAGCGCTGTCAATCCACGGAAGTTCAAAGAGTAAGTGATTTGACTTGTCCCAAAAACAGGAATCTTCCCAACAAGCAAAGAAAAGCAGGATGCCTGCCTTCCCTGAGCTATCCAGCCTCGTTGTTCGCTGTTCAGTCAGCACACACTGATTTTGTTTCAGCACTTTTATATCTGCTCCCACACAGGCTGTTAACGAAGGACTCTGCCTATTGGACTGTAGAACAGCTCCCTTTGTGACGCGCTCTTTCACACTGTCAAAGATTACTCCCACCAGGTTTGGATTTCTTCCTTTCTCCACTTTCCCCCACGCCTTCCACCTCTTCCCCCACCCCAACAAAATCAAAACTGTATCCTACAAGCCGATTTTCACACACACACACACACACACACACACACACAAGTTCAGTCGGTTTGTATCTAAGCCCCTTGTCATTACAGAGCAGGTGGGCAGATAGGCAAGAGAAGCAGCTGCTTGTTGGGTTTAATACAGCAGAGACTTTTAAGGAAGACCCGTGTCTGCTGGCTCAGCAGTAGTCAAGTTTCCAAATCAGAAACTTAATTTATGGGAATTGAGCTTCCTTTCTAGTCTTAACTCGGAGCCAGCTGTAATATCCAGAACTTAGGTCCTAAATGTATTTATCCACAAGCTAGTCAAGTAAATAGGGACTTCGTAGGTTAACCCAACTTTTATGCTGCCTGTACTAAGTAGAAGCTTTGTTGTATTTCTCTTAACAGCCCATGGGACAGAGAATATGTCTGCAGTTTTAAGGTCTTAGGATTCAGAGCAGGAAAGGTCCTTAAAGATCAGCTAGTCTCACTCCCTCATCTTTCAGAAAAGGAAACTGAAGTCCAGGGAATTTAAAAGATCTGTCCAAGGTTATACAGCTGTTAGTAGCTTGTCTAGGACTAAAAATCAGGTCTCTTCACAATTTAGGCATCTTTTCACTACAATTCATGTATTGCTAATGAAACATTCTCCAAAGCTTGTCTACTTTCAGGACCAAAGAATAAAAGAAAATGAGGTTTGACTGAGTATTTAACTAGTCCTGAGCTATAGTGAGCTCCCTGCCACTGTAAACATTCAACCAGATGCAGGGTGGCCATAGGATAGGGATTCTGTGGAAGGAAGGCGTGCAATGGATTCAGGATTCCAAATGAGAAGCTAGCCCAGATTTCTGTTGAAGTCCCTTCTAACTCTACAGAGCTCTGTAGTATTTGTAGACAGCTTATCCTGGCAGGTCTTGCTTTCAGCTGCTTATTGAAATGATCCCTCACTCTGGTTAAGTCTTTCAACTGATATTCTCATCATCTCCCTTTTCTCTTATTCCTTTCTATAGCTCGAGCAGCAGAAGCTGGATGAGAAGGTCTTTGAAACCAAACTACCTTTTCTTCATTCAATGCCACTAGAAGACAGTATAAACTAGAAAGATACCACATTGAAAAGAAGTAGGTTGGGACTTGACTGCTTTGTATCATCCTGAGAAGAGATACTGTCCACCCTTAGTCAGCATTCTGGTGCAACAGAAAATATTGAATTTGAAACTGTAGGAGCAAGGTTCAAATCCTAGCTCTGTCATTTAATAGCTCACCTCTATGGTCTCAGTGTTCTCACCTGTAAAATAAGGAGGTTGGATTAGTTAACCCTTCAGGGCCCTTTCAGTTCTAAATCTATGATCCTAATAATGGCTTACATTTGTTTAGCACTTTAAAACGATGTCTACAGAAGGATCACTGAATGGCAGATAATGAAGGCATTATTATCCTCATTTAATAGATGAGGAAAATGAGGCTTAGAAAGACCCATAGTCACACAACTAAGAAGTGTCAGAAGAGAAACTCAAACTTAAGTTTCTGGGTGCTTAATTCTATGCTCTTCTCACTGGTATGGTGGGGGAGGGGGGTAGTTGGGAAGAATAGATAAGCTATAAGGCTTTCAGATTTCTCAGTCAGGTCTTCCCCAGTGCCTCATATGGATATTCCAAAGTAAACCCAAAAGCTACAGAGGGGGAGGAGGAAAGGGCTATCCACAACAGGCACTTAGTAAGTTGTCGGTTGAATGAAATTTAAAGTCAAATAGGAACTATTCAATTCACTTCAACATTAGTCAAGGGATCACTAGTGGTTCTGGCTTTCCCATGAGTCTACTCACTTCCAGTAATAATAAAAGTAACAGTTGACAATCATACAGTGCATTAAGCTTTGAAAAGATCATTTGTACCTTACAACGGGGATGACAGCTATTATTGTTCCCATTTTACAAATAAAAACTCCTGAGGCCCAGGGAAGTTAAGTGATTGCCTATGGTCACACAGGCAAGGTATGTCTCAGGGGTGGGGTTCAGAACCAGACCAAGTCCAGCAGTCCCTCTACTACACAAGGCTGCCATTCCAATAAGGATAAATAAGAATCAGCTACATTCTAATTCCATTTTTGTTACTACTAACTGGATACAGATAATGTGTCCAGCACATAGCATAATGCTTGTTTCCTAGGACAGTCCACAGAGTTATTGTAGCACATTCAAATATTTCCTGGCTCTAGAGTCAGATGTTCTAGGTTCAAGTCCAGCCTTTGATGCTTACTGTCCATGTGATGCTAGGCATGCCCCAACCTCCCCTGGCCTCTGCTTCATCCTCTGTAAAATAAGGAGCCTGGACTTAGCCAGTGCTTAGCACATAGTAGGCACTTACTGAATGCTTGTTGATTTGATGTGACTTGGAATAGGTGATTTTTGATGGCCCTTCCAGTTCTGGATTTGGTCCTAGAAAAAGCCTGGGGCAGCTAGGTGGCAAAGTTGATAGAACACTGAACACAGAATCAGGAAGACCTGAGTTCTATGCTAATTAAAAAATCTGAGAGACATAGTTTCTGGGTAATTTAATAATTTTACTAATAAGGCCAGCCGGTTATTCATACAAGGATAATCATTCAGCCATCTCTCTTCGACCAAAGACCCCAGTGGCAGTGGAGACACAGTCTACACGCCCTTAGAAGAGGAGGTGTCCCTGAGGGATGCCTAATCACCTCTGATTGGTTAATACACTGGGAGGTGGGCTATGTTGCGGTACCTGACTTAGGTCACTCAAATCTTGGTCAAGGGTACATCAATTCCATATCACCTGTCTTGATAATAGGGAGAATCATCATTTTCCCAGGCCTGTCTGAGCAAACACAACTAGCAGGAATACACCCATTGGCCAAAACTTAGAATTTCTTTTACTGTCTTATTGGATCTTGGCTTGGGTAAATCTTTAAGAGAGATTTCCCACATTTGTTGGTTTCTGGATGAGGAAATAGAAAAGGGGAAAAACCTCAGTCTTAATACAATAATTAGGTATTAAATATAAAAGAGATATATTCATTTCTCACAGTTCAAATCCGGCCTCAGACACTTGCTATCTGTGTGGTCCTAGGCAAGTCACTTAACCCTGTTTGCCTCAGTTTCCTAACCTGTAAAATGAGCTGGAGAAGGAAATGGCAACCCACTCCAGTGTCTTTGTCAAGAAAACCCTAAATGGGGTCATGAAGAGGTAGGCACAACTGACTAAATGACTAAACAATCTGTGTGTTGATGCACCAACTCAAGGAACTGGCCATCCATTTGCATGTCATAGTCTGAACAAGGGGCATTTCTCATTCATTTGGCTTTTCCTGAATGAATTATTAAGCCAAACTCTTTTAAGTAATCATGGATTTTCTTTGAGGATGCCTTGTAACATTCTGGGACTTAATGTAATCAGTCCAATATATCTGCAAACTCATCCCCTGTAAGAAATCCCTCTTCCACTTGAACCCTGCATAGGATGCCCTCCAAAATAATGGTAAACATCTTTAGCAGGCACACATCTCTCTGGTTTATGCCTTGCTTAGCAACAACCAGGGGGTCACTAAACCAAATTATCTCTGTGGTTTCACTTATCAAGGAATATTGCATGAGCCTGACATATTCACGAGAGACTCCTTGTTGAGCAGAAGCATTTAAGTCTGTGTTTTGTTCTACTGCATCACAAATTTTTTTTTTGTAATCAAAAAACAATAAACACAGAAGGATGCTCCACTCTCTGCTCTGTTCAGTCAATTGTGTGACTATAACAATGTGGTATGCTCTAGCAAGTAGCTTGGGAAAGCCCACGGGTTCTTCTCTTATGCTTTCACCAAAGATACCCTCAATATGCATCTAGATCATTTGCATAAACATTTTATAAAAATGAAAAAGTAAGCAAATGGGTGGGTGCTCATTTGTGACTTTATGGCTGCCTTTCTCCAGGGTAATGACATCATCTGTGATATTTTTTTCCATTTATTCAGTATCTTCGCTTCCCTAAGATATCTTGTGAAACAATCCCGCAGGGCTTTCAAGATTATGTGGACTTCAAGAGGAATTGTCTGTCCTTGGTGGAGTCCAGCTGCACTTCTCCATCTTTTTTTCTAATGATTTCTAGTCTCTAACAATTAGAACTATTTAATGACTCATTTATTCAACAAACATTTCTTCTTTTTAAATAATGTTTATATTCAGATCCTAATGAAGAACAACAAGTAAGATACATGTTTCCATATACTTAGATCGGGGAAAAAGAGACTAGAACATGAAATTGCAAATCTCCATTTTGTACAGCATGATTTTCCTTTTAAGTATATAGCAAATTCAATATGTAACTTCCAATTTTCCTACTTGTCTGTGTTTCTTTTTGTTCCATTCTGTTCCTTTAAAAATTCTTTAATGACCAACTTCTTTTGGTTTTCTTTTTCTTTCTTGGGTGTGGAGGGGATAGGGTACAAACATTAATGCCACTTCCCTCTCTCTCCTACCTCCCCCACTCTAAATTTTAAAAAAAGAAAACTTTTATAACAAATATGTAAAATTAAGCAACACGAATTCCCAAACTAGCTCTGTCTGAAAATGTGTGTCTCATTTTGCATCTTGAGTCCGTCACTTCTCTGTCAGGAGGCAGGTAGCAATCTTCATCATTGGTCCTCTTAAGACTTGGTTTCTCACCACAATGAGCAGAGTTCACAAGTCTTTAAAAGTCAACAAGCATTTCTTAATCTCCTTCTACCTGCCATACTTGGTATAGTGGATAGTCAGCCAGAGTCAGAAAGACCTGGGTTCAGATTCCG